TGTCATCATTTCTGTTCCAGAGATTTGGACTCAGGATCCACTGGTTCCATGTTTGCGTGTCTGCGATGGGGTAGAACATTGTCGAGGAACAGCATGACGGAACAGCTACTCACCTGATGACTCGTCAGGAGAAAGAGGTGGGCGAGGCTCAGCGGGTAAGAACACGTACACCTGAACCGAACCCCTGAGTTCCCGCTCTGAACCCACCTGGTGCAAGAAGAGAACCAGTCCCTGAAAGTTGTCCTCTGACCTCAACTTCCACGCCGTGACACATTCACACAAAACGGGGTGTGGCGGTGGACAACTGTCCCCGTGGAAAAGTTGTTAGCTGCAAGCATGAGGACTGGCATTTGGGTCTCCAGCATGCACGGAAGAGCCAAGTGGATGTGGAAGCCCCCTGTAATCTCAGCAGTTGGGAGCAGGAGACAGAGGGATCCAGGGGCAAACCTGCTACCTAAACTAGCTAAGTAGGTGGGTTCAATGAGAGGGCTCAGTGAAGATGCCAGATGTCAACCTCTGGCCTCAACACACATGTGCACACACCTACACATTCATGTGCCCATGAGAACATGCATATAGACACATATCACACACATTTGTGCAAAATAAATATCAAGAGCATGAATATTCTTTATTTGAAAGGGGTCTTGCTATGTGGCTCAGGATGGCCTTGAACGAGCCTTCATTTCTCAAATGCTAGTATGAGCCACCATGCCCATCTTGCATGCATAAAATGTACTTTTTGCTGGGCAGTGGTGGCATACGTCTTTGATCCAGTACTTGGGAGGCAGAAGCAGGAGGATCTCTGAGTTTGAGGCCAGTCTGGTTTACAGAGTGAGTTCCAGGACAGCCCAGAACTGCGAACCCTGTCTCGGGGATGGGGAGATATACTTGTATTAAATATTTTCGTCATTTAAGTTATTAAATATGAGATCACAGCTCACAGTTTTAAGAGTTCATAGAGTATTAAAAGACAACGCAAACACTAACACGTCCCCTCTCACCCCACTCTCCACTGCAGGACACTGTCCAGAACCCATCTCGCCATTCAGGGCAGACTGCACCACCGGGCAGGTGTGGATCTCCCGCATCCACCTTGCTCTCCAGAACATGGGATGATGCTTCCCTTTTTCTGCCACACAGTTTTTGCACATGACTGTGACCCTGGAGCCTCCCATCCTGTCAGGGCACAAGACAAACCTTCTCCTTCAGAACAGAGTCACTGCAGTCAGAGTGAATACCAAGTTTTTCCACTTTCTTCCCGTCAATCATCTCTTAGGGATATTTACATTGACAAGCAAAGAACAGCCTTTGCAGCTGTGTGCTTGGCCAGTGCTGTGCACTTGATGGGTGCTGCAGTCCTGGGTAATGCTGTGTGCTTGGTCAGTGCTGTGTGCTTGGTCAGTGCTGTGTGCTTGGCCAGTGCTGTGCACTTGATGGGTGCTGCAGTCCTGGGCAATGCTGTGTGCTTGGTCAGTGCTGTGTGCTTGGTCAGTGCTGTGTGCTTGGTCAGTGCTGT